AACCCCCCCCCCCCCAACACTGACTACACCCCAAAAAACCTCCTCCCTCTCCACCTCCACAGGGGGTCAAGCCTTCAGGTTGATGTATATATATATATGCTCTCTAAACTGTAAATGTACAGTAAATGAGAATAAACTATTTCAGATTTCAGATTTCACACACAATTACACAATTAAAAGTGCACTTCACAGGTATAACCTTCCTCCTCCACCTCCTTAACAAAGATCTCCTCACTTCACACCCCTTACCTAATTACATTATATTACACAGGTGCCCCCTCCATCTCTCCCATCATCTCCTGAACACAGACCACTTGACTTAATTACATTGTATTACACAGGTGCCCCCTCCATCTCCCCCATCATCTCCTGAACACAGACCACTTGACTTAATCTCTCCAGAGGATCAATGTCCACATGAACTGACCACTCATGATGTCATCCAATTACTGACCCTTGCATACATTTCTCAGCCAAGCTAGCGGCCAGGTAACAGAGCTAATTAAGCTCATTGTTAGCTGCTAGGTTTCTTGGCTAATTAAGCTTGTTAAGCTCAGTAAAGGTTAAATGTTGCCAGGGGTTGCTGATCACATAATATATAAACACTTGACGGCAGTTGATATTGCTATTACATTAGGTACTGTTCTGGAATATTAATTTCATTCTTTTTTTAAATTAAATTTAGACTTTGGGATAAAATCTATATTCATGTTGCATTTACCTAGGCTTTGATCTTAGATTTTGAGAAAGAAAACTATTTTATTTTAAGAACAACTTGAAAAATACTCCTCTTTGTAATTTCAACATCTGCTGTATTATTTAACTGATGGGGTGTTGAAAGATGTTTTAATGCTTTTTTATGTTATTCAATTCTATTTTCTGCCATTACAAGTAAAAGAAACTCATCTCAACTTCAAAACCAGTTTCAACAAAAGGTTTTATAATAACTTACTTCTAGAAATAAACCACCTGGTCAAGGGTAATATTCTTTATGTGAGTGCAAGTTTTAAAGCTACAAACATGTCACTGTTTGAAATGTGAGTGCCTGCGTAATTTTAAAAATCATTACATTCTTTCTTTTTACAGATGTTGGTTGTTGCTCTATGTCGACAAAATACAGTGAGAAATAATTAACACTTGATGAAATCTGACTCAGGGCATAAATTGACACAAGAGTCAAGTTAAAACACTAGCTTTTGTGTTCAGTCACTTTGATCAGTGCCTCGATGGCTGAGATCAATACTACTCAAATACTTTGGATTTGTTACCTGAATCAATTGCTGCTCAGATCGATCAAAATTTCAATGTCTCATTATCCTTGTTGCTGCTCAGATTTCTATGATGTGAATAATTCTCTCAACACTGTTGTCATACTGCCTGCTACTAATATTGCACTGCAACTTTGTTTAAAAATATGGCATTGCAAACAATATTGCAATGTGAAAAATATGATAAGACATTTTTCTTAAGGTACATTATCCCTTGTTTTGTGATTATTATTTATAAGATTCAATCTTTCATAAATATATCACTCCAGTTATTCATAAAAAAACATAAAAAGTCCCTACCTCTGTCACAAAAATGACATCAATCTATTGTCAAGTATAAAGAATTAAATATGTCGTTATTACCAATTATACCACTGAAAAATTTAGTGGTTATATTCAATACACAAATAAATAAATAAATAAATAAATAAATAAATAAATAAATAAATAAATAAATAAATAAAAGATAGAACAAATACAATTAATAGCAATATAATACCTTTTACCTATAAAAAAGGGGAGCAGAAATGTACTACATGTAATCTACAACTGAAATTGATCACAGTGTTAATTACAGCATCTCAATGGCTTCCTACAAGGTATAAGGCTGTTAGAGAGGTGTAAGATGCATATTATCATTAATATTACACATCATTCAAGCCAGCTGCTGGGTTCACTCTCTTTTACAAAGTTATTGTCAGCCCAGTGGTACCCGTATTTTAATTTGACTGGGTGAGAAAATATATAAAATATTGCATTTTTTGTCAAATTTATCATTAATTTAGTTTCAAGTTTTTATTCTAGCTGATTAATCATCTCAATCTTGAGACAGAGAATTTATCTTGGAGTGAGCCCAGACTCATTTTCTCCATTAAAATCTTTTTCTTAAAAAAAAAAAAAAA